CAGTGTGCATCTTCCTGGGGACACCTGAGGATGGCAGTGTCCTATCCTGCACAGTGTGCATCTTCCTGGGGACACCTGAGGATGGCAGTGTCCTATCCTGCGGAGTGTGCATCTTCCTGGGGACACCTGAGGATGACAGTGCCTTACCCTGCACAGTGTGCATCTTCCTCGGGACACCTGAGGATGGCAGTGTCTTATGCTGCATAGTGTGCATCTTCCTGGGGACACCTGAGGATGGCAGTGTCTTACCCTGTACAGTGTGCATCTTCCTCGGGACACCTGAGCATGGACCATGTGACAGTCAGGGATAAAGGAAAGGCAGATACACTTGTATGGAAGCTCTCTAGGAAAGATTCATTATTCATCCCACAAACATTTACTGAGCGTATGGCGCTGCCTTCAGCCATGGAACAGATGGCCCAAGGCAACCGATACACGAGGCCTCCTCCAAACTGGAGGATTCCCTACTCCCCACAAATGACAAATCAGTAACTGCAACATGCACCCATCTGCTGTTCTCTGGAGCTCAGATATTCTCTCTGCCTCTTCAGCATGGAGGAGCAGATCACTACCAATTTTTCTTTCTGTCAACAGAAGCTGAGGAATAAAGTATGCCCAATTGACATAAGCAGTCCCAATTGCCTTCAGAATTTGGCCTGAAGCCCAATTATATTTTTCTAGTTTGTGCCACAGCACATGAAAAGTACAATTTGTCTCATTTCTTTTCCTTACTTTTAAAAATACTCAAAAATTAAAAAGAAAAACCTTGGCTGAGTGAAACCAACCAAGCATGTTCCTCAAGAATAATTTTGAGCATAATCCATAGCTGTGTTATTATGATATATCCTCTAAGACAGATTCAGTTGAAAGAATCTGGATATATTATTTTTAAATTATATGCATATGAATAAAGTATATATTGCATACAAATAATTTTAAAATATTGTTGCTAGGTTGAGGATAAATCAAGGTTGTAAATATGTTCATGGGCACAGGCATACATGTGTACACACACACACACACACACACACACACACACACACACACACACAGAGAGAGAGAGAGAGAGAGAGAGAGAGAGAGAGAGAGAGAGAGAAAGCACTAAGTTCACAATGCAATTGTTTGTGAAAATTATTTTCCAGGCTTATTGTTTGAAATTAAGACTGTATGTTTTCAGGAATAATGTATACATGGTAGGTGGTTTCCCAAGGATATATCCAAAGGCCTACTTCACCAATAATTCAGGCAAACTAAGTCAAACTGGTCTGGTTTCCAGGAGCAGAATAGCCAGGTGCAGTGATTCCTGCTTGAAATTTCAGTTCCAGAGTAGCTGAGGCAGGAGGATTACCATGGATTTGAAGACAGCCAGAGCTACTGGTGAGTTCCAGAACAATCTGGACTATAGAATAAGACCCGGACTCTGGCAGGAGTTTTGGTGGTTTCCTTTCCTCAAGCAGAGACCTCTACTCAATACCATGCCCCAATCATATTTATCCCTTTCCTCTAGCTTAGAACATACATCTAACTATAAACCATAAATGGAGACACAACACCTGCGTTTGCCTTCAGGAGAGAATCCCAGGATGTGATGCGCTGGTGAAATCCAGACAGAAGGAGTTTAGCTCACTCATTGTGGACTTGCTCAGTTGTCTTCTTGGAGCAGAGAATAGAAAACATTTTTTAAACTGATTTAATAGCTAGTTTCTAAAATAAGGAGCAGAGTGGATGCTCTGAATGCTGGCAGACTTCAAGTCTTCCTCTTCTGGGCATACCGCCCAGCCCTTTAGTGGAAGGTGGGGCCATGTGACTACTTCTGGCCAACAAACCATGAGTAGAAATGTTTCCTTGAGGCTGCAGCAGGCAGGGGAAAGCTCCCACGTGTGACTACCCAGTCTTTCTGTTTCTTGGTGTTTAGTTTCCTAGGGCTGCTCTAACCAAGTAACTTAATCTGAATGGCTTAAATAATAGAAACTTGCTATCTCACAGGTGAGAAATGCATGAGTACAGTGATTTTGGACAAAGGACCATGTTCCCTCTATAATCACAAGGGACAGATCTGCTCCAAGACTCTGTCCTGGCTTCTAGGAGCACATTGGCCATGGCAATATACTTCCACTCTTTATATAGCAGTCTTTCTGTGTGTCTCTGCATCTAAAATGCTGCCTTCTTGTAAAGAGGGCAGCCATATTGAATTAGAGTCCTGCTCTAGTTGGACATGGTTTCAGTAAACTCCTCAAGTTTCCTGTACTGGAATTTAATATTCATCGAGGGATGCTGAGGGAAGAAAATTGTCTGATTATGCTGTTAAGAGTTGGGGCCTTTGGGCATGGTCTAGGGTTAGATAAGGTCCTCAGAGTTTGGCTGTGTAATTGAACTCCTTGTAGCTTTCTAACATGATGAGGAAAGACCAGAAAACACATGTTCACAGGCCATGTCTCTGTCTTCTTCTGTGTGTCATCTGCACCACCTAGGGACTCTGGTGATGTGACTCTTTAGCTTGGATTTCCAGAAGAGTAGGTAAAATGCATTTCTTTCTTTTCTTTACAGCTTACCTAGTCTATGATAGCTTGTTATTGGCAACAGAAAATTGACTAATATAATTATATATGATTGTGTTTAAACTCTATCAATATCTCTAAAGACCCTATCTTTAAATAAAGTCACATTCTGTGGTGTTGGGTTTAAATCTCGCAGGTATCTTTACCTGGAGGATTTAATGGAATCATAGTCACTGGTTACCAAGAACATAAAGACCCAGTGTTGAGAGGGTGGACCCTGGATGCCTGAGTCTAGGCATGGAGGGAAGCTACCTGGGGATTCACAAGCCCTTCCAAGGAGAGAAGATTAAGCTTTCATAAGACTAGGATTTGTTTGTTATGTAGCACAGCCTAGCCTAACTATATAAATGTCTTAGTGTTCTATTGCTGTGAAGAGACACCATTTGATTGTAGATGGTATACAGTTTCAGAGGTTTGACCCTTTCTCATCATGGCAGGCAGCAGGGCAGCATGCAGGATGCTGGAGAGGTTCTACATCAGGATCCGAGTGCAGCAGGAAGAGAAAGAGAGCCACTAGGCCTGGCTTGAGCTTCTGAAATCTTAAAGCCCACCCCTTGCGGTGACACACTTCCTCCAACAGGCCACACTTCAACAAGTCACACTTCCTAATCCTTTCAAATAACGCCACCCCCTATGAGCCTATGGGGGCCATTTCCATTCAAACCACCACAATCATGATAGAAAGAAACACTTTATAAGTCCCTTGGTTGACTTATCACGAAGGTCTTTCATCTTTGTAGCAACCATCAGCTAACCAACTAAAGAGCCCAGTTCCCCTCCGACCAAACCAAACACTGCTCCCCTGTCCCCAGTTCCCCTCCGACCGAACCAAACACTGCTCCGCTGTCCCCAGTTCCCTACAATCTTGTTGTTCCCTGTCATTGATTTCTTATTATTGTATCAATTCCCATTCTCCATTGTGTTTCTGTTCCTATTTTTCTTTTTCTTACGCCGATTTATTTGTTTATATTAAGTATCTGGCCCCAGTAAGCTTGTGAGAAAGCCAACTCTGCTATAAACAAGCCCTATTATTCAATAGCTACCTTTTAATTCCTTTTCTAAGCCTTTAAATTGTAATCTGTGTGTGTTCTCAATAGCTCCCTAGGTAGCTGGAGGTGATCATGGGAGAGCGGGTATTTTCCAGCTTAGGGTTAATAATCACTTGTTTTTCCTGTTCACGTTTAATGTAGAGGCATAAACACATTTCAGAGGCAATTTAAAATATATGGTGAAAAATGCAACATCACAAATAGAAGTTTATATCTATTTCAGAGCATTTTATATTCATAACAATTCTACCATGTTAGTACCACACATTATCACCATCTCTTTATGAGTTTAAAAAAAAAAAACTAAAGAAAGAAGGTGTACCTTTGGCCCCAGAACTACAGGTGTAAAAGAGATGACATGTGCACCCCTTAAAACTCAAAAAGTTATGTTCTTAAAGTAGGAGTGGTGGTTCACGCCTATAATCCCTAAACTTGGAGGAGAAGGAGGAAGATTCTGAGTTCAAGTCCATCCTGAGCTACATATCAAGACTCCCCCCCCCAAAAAAACAAAAATTCTTCTTAATATATAGGTCTCTCTTTCCTTACAGAAAAGTGAAGTTGCCAGGGAAGGCTGGCACACACCTTTAATGCCAGCATTTAGGAGGCAGAGGCAGGTGGATCTCTATGTGTTCAAGGCCAGCCTGGTCTAAAGAGCAAGTTCTAAGACAGCTAGGGCTACAAAGAGAAACTCTGTCTTGAAAAACACACACAAAAAAAAAAATGAAAGAAAAATGAAGTTATTTGATAAGAAGTGGAAGTTTCCAAATTTAAGTCTAGCTGTGGAAGCTTCATCCTAACCAAACCTCAATGGAAAAAGCCAAACCAGGAGTATGGCCCTGCCCTCCAGTGCCAAGGAAGGGGCATTTCAACACAGGAAAAGGGCAATCCATTCAACTGTCACCTGTTTTAAATTTATGAATTTTTGTTTAATTACCAAATATAGTAGGTAGAATTAGCCTAAACTCTGACAGGAATCCCTGTTTCTTAGTCCCCAGAACCTATGACTTCACCTGTTACTAAAAGTTACCTTCTTTGAAAAACTTTGGCACTACAATTAACTGGGTTTTTTTGCAATGCTGAGCTGGGTTACTGATCCTGTGTTACTTGAGTGGGCACTAAATCCAGGTGACTTCTCAAAATGAGAAGACACAGAGGAAAAGGCTGTGTGAACACAGAAGGAGAAATTAACCACAAGCCACCAGAAGTTGGATGAGGAAAGGGAAGATCTCCTTCTATAGCCACGGAGGGAGTTCAAAACCCTGGTGAGGCCTTGGAGTTGTGTTAGTGCCTCCAAAAGCATTAAAGAATAAGTTTCTGGTTTGCAAGTTATGTGCCTGCTGCAGCACCTACAAGAGACTTATATACCAAGTAACATTAAGATAAATAAACTCACCCCGTACTTGACAGCAACATCATTCCAGGGTGAAGATTTGAAGTCAATTGAAGGATGCAGTGATTGTGAGATGAGTCTCAGATGCAGAGTGAAGCTCAGGAATTCTATGCCTTGGTCACTCTCAAATTCTCTCTTCATCCATCAGAGTTGAAGTTACTTTCTTATTTGAGAAGAAGAATGCACAGGAAATTGAGAATTGCATTTCTAAGCATTTCTCTTTAGAACTTTTTGGTAATACATGTTTTCAAGTCATAGCACTCCGACATAATGCTGGGTTACGGAGATAAGTCAAATGCTCCTAAGAACATATACCAGCTTAGTCAGACGTCTAAGAAATAGCTTTAACTTTTAAATGTAAAAGTAATAAATATGCATAAAATTCCAACAATACGGTAAGTGAATAAAATAGGAAATGAAAATCACTAGACCAGGGGCAGGGGTTGAAATGAGTAAAGATCAAGGGTTGCTATTATAGATTCCACCTCTTAGTGAGGATCCTGAGAACTCCCTCAGCCATGCCTTCTAGCCCACCCCTATTCCTTTGTGTCAGTGCTGATACCTAGAAATGCCTTCTACCTGGGACCCCTGGTGGCCACAGCTGGCTGGGACTCGGGTAGAAAATTGACACTATCCTTCCTGTTGCCCATGGCTGTTTCTCCAGTCTCGCCCTCAGACCTGTATCAGCCTCATTAGAAGCATCCTTCCTCCCGCTTCAACTTCATTCACTAGAGACTCCACACTTGGTACAGAACCACATTTCCCTAGCTTTTATCAGGGTCTTTCCAGAAGTATTTTTTTGTCCAACTGCAGCATAATTTCAGGAGCCCCTCCTTCTACCACACCTCTATCTCCCTGGGGACCTCATCTCTGGATGTGAACAAGATACCTTGAGCTCTTTCCCTCAGCCCCTCTCAGCCTTTTCTCTCTATTTTCTGCTGCTCACCAACCTGCAAAGGCACTCTCCACCAGGGAAGCACAGCCGTAACACTTTTCTAAGATCCAGAGGGGACAACAGAAACTAAGGAATGGAAAGCTCACCCAACAAAGACAACACCTAAAATCACTTCAATCATCCTAATTCCAAATGCCTACACAAAACACAAAAATGAATCACCAAGACAATATGCCTCCACCAGAAGCCAGTAGTTCTTACTGCAGTAGGCCCTGAAAATTGAAATATAGCTGAAGCACAAGACAAGGACTTCAAAATAGCAATCATGAAGATGTTGAAGGACCTTAGAGAGTATGCATGAATCCCTTAATGAAGACCACACAAAACCACAAAGAAACAGCAGAATGAAATCATGAAAACAGCTCAAGCGACATGAAAGTAGAAATAAAATTACTAAAGAACACACAAATTGAAATAAATCTGAAAATGAAAAATTTAGGAAGTCAAAAACCTCAGAGGTAAGATTCACAGGGTACAAGCCAGAAGAGAGAAAGACTATCAAGTTTTGACAAGATAGAAGAAATGGATGCCTCAGTGAAAGAAAATGTTAATACTAAAAAACTCCAGTCACAAACTCTAGGACACTAAGGGAAGACCAAATCTATGAGTAATAGGAATAGAGGGAGGAGAAAATACCCAGATCAAAGCCACAGAAAATATTTTTAACAAAATCATAGAAAATTTTCCCAACCTAAAGAAGAAAGTACCTATCAAGGTACAAGGAGCATACAAAACACCAAATAGACAGAACCAGAAAAGAAATTCATAGTAATTACTAAATCTATAGAATAAAGAACGGATATTTAAAGCTGCAAGAGGAAAAGACCAAGTAACATATAAAGGCAGGTCCACTAGAATAATACCTGACTTCTCAATGGAGACTCTGAAAGCCAGAAGGACCTAAACAGATGGTGTGCAAACTCTTAAGAGACTACAAATGCCAGCCCAGACTACCATACCCAGCAAAACTATCAATCACAGCAGATAAAGAAAGAAAAGCATTTAAAATCAAATTTAAACAACATCTACTTACTAATCCAGCTCTATAGAAGACACTAGACAAAAACGTCAGTCTAAAGAAAACACAAGGAATAAGTAATTCCAGAATAGTAAATCAAAAGAAGGGGGAAAAGCAAACCATAATATCTACATAACAGGAATCAAAACACACTGTGTATTGCTAACTTTCAATTTAATAGTTTCAACTACACCTCTCTCTCACCCCCCCCCAAAAAAAACCCAGACTAACAGATATGATCCATCTTTCTGCTGCAACCAAGAAACACCTCATCATCAAAGATAAAGATCACCTCAGGATAAAAAGACAGAAAAGGGTATGCCAAGCAAATGGACCCAAGAAGCAAGTATAGTTATTTTAATATCTGAAAAAATAGACTTCAAGCCAAAGCAAATCATAGAAAAATCCACCAAGAGGATTTTAAAATTATAAACATTTATGCACCAAAACCTGGGTACCCAAGTTCATAAAAAAAAATTACTACAGCTAAAATCACACATTGACCCTCCTACAGTTACAGTGAGTGACTTCAATACCTGAGTCTCATCAATCAACAGATCATCCAAACAAAAACTAAACAGAGAAATGTTGGAGTTAAATAACATCATAAAACAAATGGACCTAGCAGCTATTTATACAACATTCACCCAAACACAAAAGAAAAAAATACTTTCTCCTCAGCAGCAGATGAAAATTTCTCCAAAATTGACCACATATTTGGACACAAAGCAAGCTCAACAGATTTAAGGAAATTGAAAAAAATTACCCTGCATCCTATCTGCCATATATTAAAGCTGTATATCAACAACAACAGAAAATATACAAACTCATGGACACTGAGCAAATCACTACTGAATGAAGACTAGATCAGCACAGAAATTAAGTCGGAAATTGAAAACTGTTCAGAATTGAATGAAAATAAAATACAACATACCTAAATCTATGGGACACTGATGTGGAATATTAGTTAAAAACATGTTATATTCTTTTATGCTGTGGAACACTTGTTTAATGATGCAAAGATGTGTTGCATTCTGTTATGTTGCATTTGTTTAAATCTGTGAAGCTGTGTTACTTTGCCTGTCTAAAACACCTGATTGGTCTAATAAAGAGCTGAATGGCCAATAGCTAGGCGGGAGAAAGGATAGGCGGGGCTGCCCGGCAGAGAGAATAAATAGAAAGAGAAATCTGGGAAGAAAAGATCAAAGAACAAGTGAGAAAAAGAGAAGGAGAGAGGACACCAGGGGGCAGACACCCTGCTACATAGCAAGCCACAGAGTAAGAAGTAAAGAAAGGTATGTAGAAAGGTAAAATCCCAGAGGCAAAAGATAGATTGGATAATTTAAGAAAAGCTGGCTAGAAATAAGCCAAGCTAAGGTCAGCTATTCATAAGTAAGAATAAGATACTGTGTGATTTTTTTGGGAGCTGGGTGTTGGGCTCCCCAAAGAGCAGAAGAGTTAAAAAAAAAAAAAAACAGTAACAACAACTACAGGACACAATGAAGGAAGTTCTAAGAGACAAGTTCATAGCACTAAGTACCTACATGAAAAAAATTGGGGGTATCTCACATTAGCAACCTAGTGGCACACTTGAAAGCTCTAGGATAACAAGAAGAAATGACATCCAAAAAGAGTAGACATCAAGAAGTAATCAACTCAGAGCTGACATCAATTAAATAAAAACAAACAAACAAAATACAAGGAATCAATGAAACTGCGAGTTGATTCTTTAAGAAAATCAGTAATACTGATAGAGGGTTAGTGTCTAGAATATATAAAGAGCAAGAACAAAATCTGGGCATCAAGAAAACACATAACCCAATTAAAAATGGGGTACAGAAGTAAGCAGAGAGTTCTCAAAAGATGTATCATAAATGGCTAAGAAACACTTTAAGAAGTATTCAACATCCTTCGTCACCAGGGAAATGCAAAATAAAACTATTTTGAGATTTTATTGTATACTAGTCATAATGGCCAAGATCAATAAAACCAATGACAGCTCATGCTGACAAGTATTTGGGGGAAGGGGAACACTTATTGATGGTGGGAGTGAAAACTTGTATGGGCACCATGGAAATCAGTGTGATGGTTCCTCAGAAAGCTGGGAATAGCTCTACCTCAAGACCAGCTCTACCACTCTTAGATCTATACCGAAAGGATTCTACATCCTAGTATAGAGATACTTACTCATTCATATTCATTACTGCTCTATTCATAACAGCCAGAAATTGGAAATAGCTAAATGTTTATCAACTGATGAATGGATAATGAAAGTGTTGTACATTTACATGATGGAATATTATTCAGCTGTTTCAAAATGGAATTATGAAATGCACAGTTAAAATGAATGGAGCTAGAAAAAAAATCATCCCTAGTGAGATAATCCAGACCCACAAGGACAAATATTGTATGTTTTCTTTTATATGTGAATGTTAGTTTTTAAACCTTTGATAGGTGAACTACAATCTGTGTAATCATAGACGTTAGATATGGAGTAAGGGAGGAGGGAGGAGGGGAAGATCTCCCAAGGAACAGTAATCGATATATACAGTTATGAAGACATAAGGGGAATACTGGAATGGGAATATTAAATGGGGAGGAGGAAGGAAGAGATTACAGGGAGGGACAACTAACACCAAGGGCCATTTGAAGGACCATTGGAAACTGCAGAACTGGAGAAGTTGCCTAAAATATCTGCATATATGAAAGAACTTAAAAGAAGTCACCAAATAATAGAGAAGACAGTGTCCCAATGAGATATATTCACCACCAAGTGAAATATCCAGTTCTAGGAATTGGTTACATCTAGTTGAATCATTGACCACAGGCGCTCATGAACACCCCTAAACATCTCAGACTATTGCCAAAACTACTGGTTGCTCCCCAAAACCGATCTGGGAAGCGGTAAGGAGGGAAAAACTTGATCCTAATATATGGTATGAAAAAGGTTTTATAAAATAAACAGTAGCCATTACATATTATTGCTGATACGTACCTGGGTGTTATGACTTTATAAGATTGATTTGTACAGCTGTGGCATGCCACCTTACAAAGACTGTACCAAAATGAACTCTGAATTAAGAGAGCTAAGTCAAAAATTAAGTCAAAAGGTCCTACTGTTTCATGCAGAAAATTCTCCTCTGTCACAGACTTTCCAACGTTTAGAAAGTCCCTTTAAAAACTCACAGAAACTCCTAAGAGATCTTTGGCCACAATTTGAGAAACACTTGGTAAAAGGTTGTTAACATGCCCTTCAACAGTAAGATTCAATAAACATTTGTGGGTGTGGATGTGTTTAACAGACAGCCATAAAATACCACCATACAACAGAAAGCTATCAGAATGGACACTCATAAACCAGTTAATGCCTCTCAACAAGCAGAAAACCAGTAGCTTCTCCCGCTATTGATACTTACAGTTGCCACTTAATGATGTTTTTATTTAACTGATGGCAGCTGTCTCCATGAAAAACTATTAGCACAGTAGATCTTTATTGAAACTGGCAAAGTAATAAATAATGCTTGTGACTTCTCCTTTGTTCACAAGGTTAATTGTTATTTAATAACAATTGTGATACATTAAGAGCTTCCAAGGAATTATATATGCAAACCATTAGACTAAAATAGAAGTCTGAACAATGTACTAATTTATAAGTTGCTGGTAGACCAAAGACATAGAGGTGGTATAGTAGTGGATAATACGATGATTACCCAGGACCCTGTATTGTTTTCTTATTTTTCACTTACATTGACAGATACTCATTTAGCAAAATAGCAAGCTATTAATCCAGGAGATACAAAGATTTACAAGATACCACTTTGACCTTGGAAAATGTCCCAGTGTTGTTAAGGGCACTATATACACATAAGTGTATTAGTAAATGAGCTCAATTTAGAAGATACAAAGACAAACTACTCCAGCTTGGTTGCAAAATCTTTCATAGATAATGCTAGATACCATTTGCTAAGATTTCTTTAATTTTTCCAAGTCTATCCAACTTGATTAAGGAACTGTTAATCATTTCTTTCCTATTCTCTGACAAACACACCCTAATTTATCTAACTGTCGTCATTTATTTAGACTCTACTTCTTTGAGAATGGGATGGAACCTGAGAGATACTGATTTCTTCCTCTCTGTCCTACCAAGGAGGAGAGTGGAGGCCAGTGAAAGGGCTTACTCTAGTCAAATGGCCACAGCAAAGCCCCAACTAGGGCTCAGGTCACCCAGCTTCTTGCTTCTTTGAGGCCTTAGAAGATGGTTATGTCAATATTGTCCTTTATTCTTTGCCCAGTTTGGACACAGTATTTCAAATCTCAACACACAAATTGCATGCCTAAAAACAAGCACAAAGGAGAAAGAGGAGTGTTGATAATGGTGATTTAAAATGAAGAGAAGAAGTGGGGAGGACAGAGAAGAAAGCAGAGGATTCACTTAGTGACATGAACTTTGAAAGTGCACCTGCTGTACCTACCTTTTGCAGTATTTCTGGTACTAAAATCATTCAAAGTTTACAGGGAAGGGAACAATGCCATTAAATGCCTGAGGTCACAGAGTAAGTGGCTGCTAGTTAATGTGAGATCCTATACAGGTCTGACTTGAGATCACATAAGCTAACCCACAACACCATACTGTAGTCAAAGCTGTGCAACCTCTAGCAAACAGTGCCCACCCTACAATGCTGGTATAACTAGACGGGGGCGAGGGTAGTACTGACTGCTGCAGGCTGGGGAAGCCCTGGAAAGGGCTCAGATTGTTACAGCAGCCCCTAAATGGCATTTCTAATGTTCCTGCTCTCTATGATGCATTTCAGTTACCAAGACAATCATTTCAAATAAGAATTCCAGTGAAGCTCAGAGCAAATTAATTAGCCATGCTGCAGACACATTAAAACTCCACAAGCAGTTACCATAGTAGGTAACCTTGCATGTTTTACAAAGTGTGGCGTTTTCATTTCAGCTCATGTTTAATAATGAATAATTTTCCCTGCCCCCTGCTAAACAGTGAATGATGAGAAACCCTATGGTAATTCAGGGGTGCTGAATTAATCTACTGGTAGAATATTCACATTTTCCCTAAGGCAACCTTCCCCTTATTCAGGTTGTATCTATGTTCATATCTTTATCCTCTCCCAAGGAGTTCCAGCAAATGCCTGGGAAGAAGATAGGCCTTTATTCTTGGCTATGGGGAGAGCAGTGGGGCTTCCCAGTGTGTAAATGTGAATAGGAGTACATGAGGGACTGGCAGGGACTGGCAGGTGGCCCCAGTGCTCACGCGGAACCCACCTAGCAATGAGGCATCATCATCTGTTCCCCTCTCCAGAAAGCGACTAAAACAGCCTCCATTTCTCCCAAGCCCCGTGCCCTGATTTAGTTGTCTTCAGAAAAGTTATTTGTGCCCTAGATTTTAACTCTATCCCCTCCCATGAATGCAAGTGGCATTATAGCAAGGGCATTGTTCTGTCCACTGCTGTCACCCTAAACCAGTATATATAGAAAATATACAATAATTTCTGCTGAATAGTAAGTAAGCATCTAATGCATTTGTCAATGGTGTCTGTTTTGCTTAGAATTTCCTAAGAAAGTAGAGAAAAGAATGAAATCATGTCCTGTAGCAATATGTCACCCAGTTTCCCATGAGACACCTGTTCTCTGGCGACAGTTCTCTCCTCTTCCCACCCAGCTTTTGCAATAGCCCCATTGTTGTCCCCACAATCTAGAAGGTTATGCCCTAGTATCAAAATAAAATCCAGAATTGTTGCATCCTCTCCCACACGCATCTCAGAAATCACTTCAGGCAAAACATGCAAATATCAACAGCGCCCTAAGTCATGAAATATTCATAAAATAAATGTTGTATAGCCATTACAAAGAATTAGGTTAATGATAGATATAATAATAGATAGATGGTGGGTTGGTATGGATATAAACAGATGATGGATGGGTGACTGACTTACTATTTAATCTTAGTAGATGACTGAACATGCATATGAGAAATTATTGGCTTTGGCTGCCTTTAATGGACAGAATCTGGAAAATGTGTTAATAATAGGAAGGTACTTGGGGTGGGGGTGGGGGTGCATGCGTTCATTTGTTCCCATGTATGTGGAGGACAGAAGTCATATTGAGTGTCTTCTTCAATCACTCTCCATATTTTTTGAGGCAGAGTTTCGCTGAATCTGGAGCTCACTGATCCTCAGGAATCCCTGCCTTGCTCCTGTGTGGTGCTGGAGACTAACCTCGGGTCTTCATGTTGTAGCAAGCACTTTACCAAGTGAGCCATTTCCCTGACTTGAGAGACTGCATTTTTAGACATGTTTTTAGAACGAGAGGTTATGATGTTGGGAAGGGTTGGTGTATTTACATTTCTAATTCAAAAATTAATTAAGCATCATTATACACCAAATGAAAGAGTGTGGGTGGGCAGGCAACAAGCCATTAACAAATTTCAGCATGGCCCTGAAAGAATTCACCTAACCAAATGAGAATTTAATGCCTTAGGGTGTCTACTGAGAACATAAAACTTATTTTCAAAGAATTGAGTCTTCATCTTTCCGTTCTCTGTGAGAGTTCTCAACCCATGTAATGACACCTGCTGGTAAGGCCAAAGAAAGTCAATGAACTGAAAATCAAGTTAAAAATGGTTTATCCAGGAGAAGCTAGCTAGATGTGATTCTTGGATTGGTCTCCCAAGAACTCCTAGCTCCCCAACCATACTTTCCACATAAAATAATTTTTAAACCAGAATAAATTAGCCTCTGTGATGATAATATAAAGTACTAAGTGTCTGTAAACATGTGATACTTACAAAGAACTCTCCATTCACATCACTTGGGCTTACTGGGATGTATTTTTTTCATTGCATTATTTATTATCTGCTGGTCCTGTTGCCCATATCCAACACTTGCCAATGTGGTCTGTCCAGATGTGAGGTTAACTGCCAGAGGAAAAGAGAAAACCAAGCCAGGATTTTCTGGTTTAGTGATGAGTCTCTCATATAGTCCTGCCTGTTCCCCTGAAGATACTGTGAAGTATGGGATGATGGGTCAGCTCTCTGCCATGGAGATCTCCTGGTAGCTGATAACCACCTTCGGGGCTATCAGCTATGTCTCTGAACCATGATGGACAGATGAGAGTTGAGACATCCACAAAAAGTTCAGCCAGGGCCATCTTCAGCAACTCTACCAGGCTCCTAACCTGTGTCAAGCTCTGTACTCCCCTCCTCTTTGATTTAGTCAAAAGGCTGAGGGAGACAGAGGGCCATCAAGAGGAAATGGGGATTTCACTCTTAAAAGAAGGGAACCCTTCTCTTACAGTGGTTCAGCATTACTGGGCATGGTCATGGAGATCATGGCGGAAAGGAAACACCCAAGAATAAACAGAATTGGTGTTTATATCTCCAAGCCAACTAAGAAAAGGGGTTGAATAATGACCATATAGCAAGTCCTGTCCTGTCAGATCCTAGACAGATGCAGCCGAACAGCACAAAGGCAGGTGGGCTGGGCACTGCAGACAAGTTCAGATTATATACTCATAACTTTTTATCTTACCTCTTCCTAGAACTAAAGAAAAACTGCTAACGTGATCAGCACATCTCTGGATCACTGACAATTGTAGAGGATGAATTAATTTTAATTTAGGGGCTGATTAGTTAATAAAAGAGATGTCTGAAGGACCCGAAGGACCCATCTTACAGCCTTAGAACTTTGCTCCTCCAATAAAAGGCCTTGTTAATCATCTGTGCTACATTAAAGACAGAAGCCACTCTAAACACATAGCAGCCATCTTGACCTAAATGTGAATCTATATATTTTAGATCTTTCATTAAGAATTACTTTCACCAGGCAGTGGTGGTGCACACCCTTAATCCCAGCACTCGGGAGGCAGAGGCAGGCGGATCTCTGAGTTCCAGGCCAGCCTGGTCTACAGAGTGAGTTTCAGGACAACCAAGGCTACACAGAGAAACCCTGTCTTGAAAAACAAAACAAAAAGAAAAGAACAGAATTTCTTTCACAAGAAGAAGGACAGAGCTCAGTCCCAGGTGTTTGAGGGAATTGGAAAGGACTGTACCACAATAGCACAGAGGAACTGTGAAGAAAAAGTGGAGAGCACCAAAGACAAATTTAACTGATTTTCCTCCCATGGGAAGCAGAGTTCTTGGCAATTGTGAAAGAGCTCTGTCCACCTCACATGCTTTTGCGCTCTGCCCAGAGGTAGAGAACATGGCTGTTTCCTGGCATTTCCTGATGCCTACAGCCACATGGTCTGTAGAAAAACCTCATCCTAGGGCATCTGCCAATTGATCAGCCTGGAGTGGCCTGGATCCATTCCTGTAGTAAGAGCATGGCACAATCTCACTCTCAGTTTCACAAGACTCATTCTCTGAAACAGGGCATTGCCTCTTGCTGGCCACTCCCCAGTCTCTAAACCACAGTAAGACATATTTCACACAATAAATATAGAATTCATATGCATGGTCTATTACTGGAAATGTCCTGAGAGGTCAACTCCAGTGCTAGATGTAATGTCATTAAGAAAATTATGAGATTATAGCTCCAAAGCCAGAGCCCAGACACTTGAGAAAAACTGAATTTCCCTATAAGTTAAATTATGTTGAAGTCATAACCCTTAGTATTGCAGACTATGACTTTATTTGAAAATAAGTCTTTGAAGATGATATGATCAAGTTAACATGGCATCATTAAAACGGGTCCTAATCCAAGGCAATAGTGTCCGTCAGAAAAGAGGAAACGCAAAGTGACATACATACATGCACAAAGGGAAAATACCACATGAACTTAGAGTGATGAGTGCTTTGCAAGCTAGGAAGTGGTGTTTTTTTTTTTTAAATGCCAGCAAGCCACCAGATACTAGAGGGTAGGCACAAAACAGATTCTCTGCCTTCTGAGGGAAAAAGCCCTGTCAACACCTTTATGTTAGGTTTCCAGCCTTCCATACTGTGAGGCATTACCACTAAACTGCTGCTAAGACCACTCAGTGTTTGTAGCAGCCTCAAGAAAGTAATGTCCTCACCTTGAAGTCCTGAGCCAATATCTGCTGATTTAATCTCCAACAGCTTTACCCAACATTCTCAGGAATGAAACTCTGGTAAAGTAGCTCCAAGCCGATAAGGTCTTGAGTTTCCACCTGGAAAAAGGATGTGAATTTCAGTGCTGGCTCATAGCATGAACTCGATAGTATTTACGTCCCTGTAGGATAGTTTTCTGACTGTGGTTCGGGGAGTGTACTCATTCCCTTTGCATTGCTGTGACCAGAATACCCAGAAAAAATAATTTACATGAGGAAAGATTAATTCTGCCTCCGTTTCAGAAGGGTTTCAGTCCATCATAGGAGAGAAGGGAGGGCAGAGACTCTCTGTCTGTACTAGCAGGGGCAAGTACAAGAGATTTCACACAGTGGTGTACCAGGAAACAGGCAGGCCAGAACCAAGGTACAGTTTGTATGTGGCTTTGAAAGGCCTCCCCCTGGTTACCTACTTCTTCCAGCTAGGTTCCACCTCCTAAAGATCCCAGAGCCTCCCAAAATAGTAACAGCAGCAGGGAAACATGTACTCAAAATGAACCATGGTTGGCAAGGAGAACATTTTAGATTTGGACCATAATAGGGCGGATGAATAAGAGCCGTTGTGTGTGTGCCGATTCTAATCGCCTTACAGCAGGCACTTAGAACCTTCTAGGTAGATTCCTCAAAGCCCTGTGCCTGACCTGCCGGCCCTGATCACCTCATCAAGCAGGAGTAGCTGATAAACGACTGAAGTGTGGTGTCTCTCACACACTGTGTCTCATGGCCTTGAGGTTAGCTTCTTCACATTTCAGCTTTGAGATGGCTCTTTGTCTTGAGGAGCTGATATCGCAACTGAGCAGGAAGACAGCAGTGACTGAGGAACATGATCTGTGTCAGCGCCAAATGGGAAACTTACCATTAAAGAACCAAAGCACCCCCATTTCAAGCAAGCCCCTCACCCCAGCTTGAAACAGGCCTGAGTTTCAAAATTCTCAGAGCTGCTGACATAGGTCAAAGGACAAAGTCAGGATGTTTGAAGGACTATCTGGTAGCAAGTGATTAACCATTGAATGCCCCAATGCCAGAGATGGTCAAAGTACAAAGTCAAGATGTTTGAAGGACTATCTGGTAGGAATTGATTAACCACAGAACGCCCCAATGCTGGAGGTAGTCTATAAAGTTTAACAAACAACCGGTTAAAACTACAAAGTCAGATAACACAGAAATTCTGAAAAGCCCCTAAAACTTGAGCCAATCAGAATTGTACCCGTACTCGCACCCCTAAATGATGTAACCTTGTGGTTTTTGCCTTTAAAAACTGAGCTTGCAGAGGGGCGGGCACCTCCTCTAGCCTCTGCTATGTTGGGGTGCTCAACAGAGGTCCCTGCCACAGCTTGAATTGAAATAAACCTTACTTTTGCATTTCCATGAGTTCGTGTCTATGGTGGTCTCTTTGGGGGTCTGGTGCCCAGGGCACAGCACCATCTGTGGACCAAAATATCTCCAAACTCTTCGAAACAGAGAACCTTTACTCTACTGACCGGGGGTGGGGTGGGGGGTGGGGGTCTGACACATTAGTACTTTCTAGTGTTCCTTTGTGTTCTCATTTTTCAACAATCTCTTCTTCTTCCTTTTCATCTTTACTCTTCCTCTTCCTCCTTCTTCCCATTCCCCACCTCCTCTTTTCATCCCTCCTCTTTACTTTTCCTTCTCTGAACCCCTCTCTCTTCCCTACATAGATTTGGTGTGGGCAGAATTGTCTACTATAAGCCATCACCGGCCAAAGGAAATGTATTTTTCTTTCTATAATGTCAAAATGGCTACTCTTAAAACCTTCGCATTTGGAGCCCACAGTTATTTTCCTTGGAACTTATACTAGTCTTCTGAGAATTTCTCAGAGTCTGCACTAGTTCTGAGTAGTTCTGGGTTCTGGACATTGTTCTAATGTACAGAGAGCCTTCCCCACACTGGTGATTGACCAGAGGTAAAGCTTTTGTCATGGCTTCCAGAAAAGTTTTAAATACAGTGTAATAAGCCAAGTCCTACATTGATCTAGAAGAGCCTTCCATGCATTCTCCTGCTTGATTTTCTTCATGATGCCGTGGTGCAGGCAGGACAAGCCTTCTGTTGCTCCTAATTTTAATTTAAGGATCAAAATCAGAGAGATTAAATGACTCAACACCCAGAACGAACATATTTCAGGATTGTACTCTCTCTCCAATAACTCAACAAATTATTTAATCTCCTTCATGAAGGTATTACCATATATAAATAGAGCCTTTTTAATAACCATCAAGAGTCGCCAAATAAGCAGTGTTAGACAGCTTGGCTGAGATTGCACTGATTAAAGATCGTATTTAATGGTGCCTTAAACTATGTCCAAATAGCTTTCCCCAAAGTAGCAGAATGGTATATATTCTAAAGCGTTCTCTTTAAACGAACCAGTTTGTTATAATTTATGCCTAACTCATGGGCTCTTCTTGCCTCATCAGGTAGGAACCGGATAAATTAAAGAAGTAAGTAAATTCATTTTACACACGGTTCCAAGTCTATAGGCTTGGAGAAGGACCTATTTCACTCCAGGCTTACCCACAGGGAAATGGGTTTGGGGCTCACTGCTTTTCTTTCTACCCATTTGCCTCTTTTCACCATTGTTGAAACGGCTGCAAGCATGTCCCCGTTGTCAAACTCACCCTAAACACACAAACACGCTCCCACAGGGAGGCAAGCACTCTTTAACCCTTCCTCGGAAATGAAGAGTCCATGTGTGCAGCCTATTCCTGACTCCTCTTTTCAGTCCCTGACCCTGGACTTTCCTGAAACATTGTCAAGTAGAAACATTGGGTTTTGCTTTAGCTTTAACATTCCTCTGGACCAAAACCTATTTTTTAAAAACTGCACTGAAATTTCGAAACAGTAAAAGCTTGTCATGGAAGAGCCTTCAATTTAGGATGAGAAATGTGCGTTCCCACTGCCTCCTGCCTGTGGTGAGGAATCCAACTGAGTTCTGCGTGGGTGGACAATGAAAGCTCACCTCCAGATTGCAGCTGCGTGCAAGTTTGAAGAAGTACACGTTTCCTTCCCCCAAAGAGCTGAGAAGATTGGGACAAAGTAGGGACAGCGCTATCTTTCTATGCTCTTGACAGGCATTACCCAAATCGTTTGCCAAAAGGACAGAGCAAAGGTTTCAAATGCGTCTTTCAGGTGGACGTGGCATGGAACTCATTATCAGATTAGAGACTGAAAGGCACCGAGGTGATTGCTGCTGGGCAGGCCTCCCACATCCCTGAATCACTCTTGCTGTGGCTGTCCACCCACTCAGCTGCGAAGTATGGCCATTTATCAAGTGCCTTGGTACATTCATGAGACTTCACTACTCAGAAACTTTTTAAGCCCATTTTGTAACACTTGTCCTCACATCAATCACTGTGACCAGCCTCTACTCCTTTAAATGCTCTTTTTTCTTTGCTCGTATGATTCCATATTCTCACCTGGTAAACACCTCCAACATGTCACTCAAACTTCCTCCTCTAACTAATGTGCTCTCCTGCAATGGGGTCCTAATGCACACACACACACACACACACACACACACACACACACACACACACACACCTTTGTTTAGACTTTCTCTTTAAGCTATCTCATTAATTTCTATCACTTTAAATGTTATCTATATACTAGATATATACTAGATAATGCCAGGTCCCCCCTGCTGAGATTTGTTTTCTGAGTTTTCTACTAATGTATCCCACCTCTTTCCTGCTGTCTCACCTTAGGTATGAAGTTATTAAAAGCAAACCTGAGTTCTTCTTTTGATTTCCTGCCTAGATTTTCTTCAAGAAGGACAGACATTCGTCACAGGAAAGCACTCTGGAAATGACAGAGTAGATAAGCCAGATCAAGTATCTCATGGAGAACAACTCAGAAAGCTAAGAAAATAGCTCAAAATCTACTTGACAGCACCAGAAACTAGCATGGCAGGGAATCAGTATGAGAACCAAAACCCCAAAAGAGAAGGAAATGAATATGAGCCTGGTGCCTGGGGTCATTTTTCCTCTAGGGAAAATAAATTTCCAATTTATATAGATATGGCCAAGAGGCCAAGAAACTGAGCAGAGTTTTCAATGAACTTTCAGGGCAACAGAAGTTAGAGTTTTGAGCCTGCTAAGAAAAGGGGCCCCTGTAAATCCTGTTGTGTTTTGGGGTCTTATGTTAGGGTTCTTCAGAGGAAAATAATCAATAGGACACACACACACACACACACACACACACACACACACACACACACACACACACGAATTTGATGGGCAAAGCCAGAATCTTCAGGGAAAATCAGCAAGATATAAATCTAGAGAAGAATCGATTATCTAAAGGCAATCTGGAGACCTCAGTCTTTTCTCTGACCCAGTGTGTTCCAAATTCACCATAAGTGCATGATCGCGCAGGGAAGCATCTATTAAAGAGCTCTTTCCTAGAAAGCAGGGAGACACTATGTGTAGCACATCAGTGACACCTTTTTTCCAATTCCTGACTAAAGGCAATCTGCTTTACTTACAATTTATTGACTTGAATGTTACTCTCACCTAAAGATAAACAAACTCCAGGAAGGCACATAGTAACATTTAAACTAATATTGGCACAATATAATGTTTAGCTACAGTGGCCCAGTTAAATGGAAAGATGAAACCAACTGCCACAGACCCTGAGGTTCTACATCCTCAAAGAAAGGTGAAAGGAAAAAGGACATCTTCATACAGAGATTGAAGTTCAAATCTTCTCAACTCCTGACTAAAGTGGGGTCATGAGGAATTAAGTATCCCCTAGCAGTTTCCAGAATCAAATACATTCTTCCCATAAGGAGAGGTGAAAGTATCTGAGGCCTTAAGTCTTCACTACAATTTTTCATATATAGTGTCTAAAACACACTCTAAAATAACTAGACTTTTAAGACACAGAAAGTAATGATCAAAATCTAAGGGAAATAACAAACAATACAAATAGACATGTATAGGATCTGCATAGCAGATTTTAATTAAATATGATCAAGGGAATAAAAATGAAAAAAATAAGAATTTTGGTGAAATCTAAAAAGCTTAAAAAGAATCAAACGAAATAGGGAT